ATCGTAATGACTGCAGCCTTCCTCGGAGCAGCTCGGACTCTGAGTCCAGCAGCAGTAGCAGCAGCAGCGCTGCCTCAGACCGGACCAGGTACCAGTCCTCCGGATCAAGACCCACCTCCGGGATGGCCTTCTAGATTTCCCTATGGGGAGTGGGGTGGCAGCCATTTTAGCCTAGATTAAGATGGCTCAAACCAAAGGTTCTCTGCAAAATAAATGGAATAGATGAGACTGTCACCATAATGAAACAGAGGAGCCCACCCTGTGTTAAGCTGATGGTTTAGAACAGAGGGCATAAACTGGTTCCTTGTGGGCTGGATTTGGCCTGCAGACATTTTGTTTGGCCAGCATAGTATTAAAAAAAAAAAAAAGATTCGGAAGTGGCATATAAAATTCCCAGTTTCTGTAGTCTCTGTAAAAATCAGACTGGCAGTTCTGGCCACTGTTGACTTAAGACGGGCGCATGCATTCAGCACTACTGCTATGTCCAGCCCACTTCAGTCAGATCACCCCCAAGTCCCTGAGGGCATTTGAGTTTGAAATTCTTCAAGTAGCCTCTGCTTTCCAAACGTCTTAGACCCTAGGGGCTTAAAGAAGGGAGGATACCCACCATGCCATTCCCCACTCTTCCCCTCCTTTGAGTTGAGCTTCCCTTTTGTCCACAGCACAACGCCTTCAAAACAAGGCCGGGGCAAGCCCTCCTTCTCTCGGGGCACGTTCCCAGAGGATAGCAGTGAAGATACCTCAGGCACTGAGAACGAGGCCTACTCCGTGGGCACTGGCCGCGGCGTGGGCCACAGCAGTAAGTACGCCTGCCCAAAGCCAGGGGTTCTGGGGGCCCAGTGTCAGGGCCTTGCCAGACCCCGGACTGCTGATCTGCCCCCTCTCTCCCATTCCTGTGAAGTGGTAAGGAAGAGTCTGGGCCGGGGAGCTGGCTGGCTGTCAGAGGATGAGGACTCCCCACTGGATGCTCTGGACCTGGTGTGGGCCAAATGCCGAGGGTATCCATCATACCCAGCTCTGGTAGGCTTCCACTTTTCTTGTCATATCCCTTGTCTTCCAACCCCAGAACACAGACTCAAAAGTAGCAGACTTTTTCTACTCTCTGCTGACCTGCAGAGCACAGGAGTCTTTGGCAGATAGACACTTAGAGGTCCCTGATAAGTTTCTCCATCTCTCCCTCTTTCTTCCCTTTGCCCCTTGGGCTCTGAAATAGTTCAGCATGGAAATAAGCCAAGGGTCAGCACTGCAGCCCTAGGAGTGTGGTAACCATTTTCTGTTCCCACTTCAGACGTAGTCTCCAAATTCTTGGATAGGGTAAGCCTTGGGAAGGAGACTGAACTAAACCAAGGTCTTATTACACCCTTAGATCATTGATCCAAAGATGCCCCGGGAAGGTATGTTCCACCATGGGGTTCCCATCCCTGTGCCCCCACTGGAGGTGCTGAAACTTGGGGAACAGATGACCCAGGAAGCCCGAGAGCATCTCTACCTCGTCCTCTTCTTTGACAACAAGCGAACCTGGTAAGGGAGGAGGGGAGCATTTGATGTGACTCATAGCCACAGATGCAACCCTCGGTATCGGGGCAGGTTGCCAGGGAACTCCAGCAACAGACAGCCTGAGCTGTCATAAATCAGTGGGGGAGGGACTTAGATCTTTGAGCAAAAGGGTTGTGTTGACCAAGAGTCTGAGAGACTGAGCGGGCAGCAGCTGACAGACAGCTGTAGCTAGAAATCAAAGGACCGTGAGTGACTGTGACAAATGTGGGGGTGGCTCCCCACCCAGACTAAAGTGGCTTCTAGACTTACTTTTCCCACCTCTGCCTCCATGGTGACAAGATGGGGATAAAGCAGGCATAATCATTCAGGTTCTGAATGCCTGTTCCGTCACACTTACATGTGTGGTCTCTGGTTGTTAATTGTCTGCAGAGGATGTTTAATGTCAGTTAAGTCTGCCTGGAGCCCACTGGACAAGGTACCTATTTCAGGGTAGGTCAAGGCTCCTTTTTGTGCCCATAACTAACCTATGATTACCCCGTTGTGACCGATGACTGGGCTCTTTTCATCACTAGCCTGTGAGCAGTTCCTTGAGAGCAGGGACTGCATCTCTTGGTTTCTTTAATTCCCACCAGAGCCTGGCCCAGAGTGGGGCACTCAGGAGGAGTTTTTGAAGGAATGAACAAGTGAGGAAGGCTGGTGCCTGTTGCTCCCCCAGAGATAAGAGATGACTTACTCGCTTCTCACCTCGTCCTACAGGCAGTGGCTGCCCAGGACTAAGCTGGTTCCTCTGGGCGTGAACCAGGACCTTGACAAGGAGAAGATGCTGGAGGGCCGGAAATCCAACATCCGCAAGTCAGTACAGATCGCCTACCACAGGGCTCTGCAGCACCGCAGCAAGGTGCAGGGCGAGCAGAGCAGTGAGACCAGCGATAGTGACTGATACTGTCCAGCACAACCCAACCTACAGTGCCCTGCCACCTCTCTCCTCCCCTTTGCTCACTGTCCTGGAGTGGCACCGGCCTCTGCACTGACTCATTCCTGGTCTTGGGGCCAGTCTCAGGGGAAGCTGGGTGGGGGAGGTCCCTCCCGCCCTGAGTGCAGCTGGACTGTACAGAACACTCCAAGGGCCCATGGGGGCTCTGCGCAATGAGAGGGGAGGTTCCACAGGCCAGAAAGCTCCAGAGACCTCACGGCATTGTAGCGCACGTTGGTGGGCCAAGCTTAGGACGCTGCGTAAAACAGGCCATCCAACCACCTCTGCCTACTCATGCCAGGAGAACCCCTAACTGCCTAGTGGCCTGAGGCCCCTGAGGTGGTGAGGTGAGCTGGCATCTGCACAGCCTAGCATTGAGATTGATGTCTGTCCAGCCCGGAAGAGGGGCACTAGGTGACCCCCCTCCCCTGCTGTTGTAAATACTGTAAATAGTGGAGAATTTAAATTATTCTCATTTGTAACTGCGTTTCCGGGTCGCGCCAGAGTCATTTGGTACTAAAAAAAAAGACTGGGGCCTGTCCCCACTTCCCTTCTTCCCATAGATTCCCCCACCTTTCAAACTGGTTTGTATTTATTTCAAAGGAAGAAAATATATTGATTCTTAGAAAATAAATGGTCTGTTTGGAATTCTTGGTTCTTGCCTTCTGCCAGGGCAAAAGTGAGGCTGTGTTCCTCGGGGATGGTAAATAATTGGGCCCAAGTGGTTGCTGGCTGCTGTGCCTGCTGCATTTGTAAGACAACAGCAAAGATAATATTGGGCTGGCCGAAAAGTTCATTCGTGTTTTTCTGTAACATCTTATGGAAAAACCCAAACGAAGTCTTTGGCTAACCCAGTATGACAGCTCCCATTCCCCATGTCCTTCACTGAGTGGTAGACCCTGTGCTGAAGCACCTTTAGATACAGTTTTGTATAATCCTTGCAATAACTACGGGGAAAGTTAATGACAGGGTAGTTATCTCCACAAAGACACCAAGGTTTAGACAAATTAAGTAACTTGCCAAAGTTCCCACAACTAGGAAGTCGCAGAGCTAGCATTTGAACAAGAGCCCGCCTCCACAGCTGGCTCTTCAACCAGTATGCCGAACGACTGGAAGGGAAGAATCTCGTGGCCATTCCTTCGTGAACTGCAGATGCTTCGAGTCCTTTGCCAGTGAGACGGTCCGGGTGCTGCTTCAGAGTCACTATAGCTGTGTGACCCTTCTTCCCCTGTTTAGCTGGGGCCTCAGCAGGAATGCAGAGGGACTCTTCATTCCCAACCTTGACACCTCTTCCAATTTAAGCATTTACTGGAGGAATGCCCTCTAAGCACCAGGCACCTGTGGGCCGTCGTGCCTGCCGAGGAGACAGACGCAGGAAGCAGCTGCCCCAGGGCCTGGTAACTCCTGAAGCCCGGAACTGAGACGCTGCCAGGCTCACGGCCCCCGCTGCTGGGAACGGTGGCAAGAGGGACACAGAGATAAATCAGCCGTCAGTCTGTCCCTTAAGGAATCTGAAGGCTAATGGCTCAGGTACAGTAACCAAGAATCACCGCCCAGAGGCAGTTCTTGTGGCCCTGCTTTTTGTGTCTTTCTCCAGAAGGTAAGAAGTTACATGATACATCTCTCCTGGGCCAGGTAGCCGACCCTGGCACCGGGGCTGCCCGGGGGGCCACACACTTGGGGGTCCTGTGGCCTCTCTGGGCCGCTGGGCGCAGTCCCCGAGGAAGGCCTACCCAGGCCCCGTTGGGCAGGGCTGAGGGAGTGCTGTGGAGGAAGGCCCTAGACGGAGGGAGCAGCTGTGGCAGCCAGCGGGCGGCGCCCGGCGGGACAGTCCGAGGAGGCAGGCCTCTGACGAGGAAGTCTGTGAGGAGGCCTAAGCCTACAGCGTCGAGGCTCAGGGACAAGCCCTGGGAGGGTAGCGGCTCAGCGGGTGAGCGCGAAGGCAGAATCCTCGGGAGCCAGATGCCGTGGAGACACCTCAGGGGCTCGGCGGGCCCGGAGCTGCGTTCCGGCGCGATTCTCAGTGAGGGGGTGGTTCAGGGGAGGCCGACTGAGGAGGGCGAGGATCAGCCCCGAGAGGCTCGGTGAGAAAGGCTAAGGATGGCGAGGGATAGGACTTGGTTCTGTGGGCGGGCAGACCCTGAGGAATCCCAGGGCTCTGAGAAGATCAGAGAGTGAGGACTGGGGCCTGAGGGCGCACAGTGCGCCCGGACCCTGGGGAGCGGGGATGGGACACACCGGCGTGCCGAGTGCAGCCGAGCCCACAGAGGAAAGCCCAAGGGCGGGCAGCTAGGCCAGAGCGCGCCAACCGCTGCGGCGCCACGGAAAGGCCCGCCCACCCGCCGCCACGCCCGATTCTCATTGGCGACTCTTAACTCTCCGTGGATTGGCTACCTCTGGATCCAATTAGCCGGGCTTGAACCGTACTTCCGGTGAGAGAGGTCGGACGCCGGAGAAAGCCGAAGAGAGGGCTTCCGCGCGCTTCCCAAAGTCGCGGAAGCTCTTTGGGACAGTGGGGACAGTGGTGCGCGCCCGGAGGCTGTGGGGGGCGGGGGAGGATACGTAAGGAGGAAGGACGGGAGTGTCGGGACAGAGTGGGAGGGACGGAGCGTTGGTGAACCGCAAGGAGTGGGGCCTTTGGGGAGTGGAGAAATTGAATAAAACTGGGCGGGCCTTAAATAAGCAAATTAAGAGGCTAGGATTTGGTGGGCGAGGCCTAGAGGGGCGTGACCTTTGGGGCGGTGTCTCGGCGGAGCGTTGAGCTGCTTTGAGTGGGCGAGGGCATCATGGGGCGGAGCCTGACGTGGAAATGTTAGCCCGCTCCCTTCTGCAGCGTAGCATGAGACATCGCACTCTGGCCTCCGTCCCGGCCCTGTGGGCCTCCATCCCCTGTCCACGCTCTGAGCTGCGCCTGGACCTGGTTCTGGCTTCTGGACAGTCATTCCGGTGAGTGACCCTGGCTCCTGGCTCCTCGGCACAGCAGATCCTGGGGTGCATTGGGGGTGATGAAGAAACTTCAGAGTACAAAAGAGGAGACTGAGGCACGGGTGGTGACCCTGTTACATGCTTTATAAAGTGGAGGTGAGGTAATAAGCCTGCGCAGTGTTGTTGCGAGGATTACATGATATAACTGATGTAAAAGAAAGCACTTTTACTTTGCAATTTGTAAGTCAGTTTTGTATATGGAGCAGTTATAAGATGGGAGGGCCCCAAAGGGTGCAGGAAGGGAAACTGAGTGCTAGGGCTGCCCTGTGCCTGGGGGTCAGGTGGAGGGAGCAAAGCCCTGCGCACTGGAGTGGCGTGCTGGCCGACCAGGTATGGACACTGACCCAGACTGAGGAGCATCTTTACTGCACTGTGTACCGAGGGGATAAGGGCCGGGTTGGCAGGCCCACACTGGAAGAGCTAAAGGCCGTGCGACAGTACTTCCGGCTGGATGTCAGCCTTGCTCAGCTGTATCACCATTGGAGTTCTGTGGACCCCCACTTTCAAGAGGTGGCTCAGAAATTCCAAGGTGAGTACAGAGCCTGAGGCAGGGGTTGGGGTGCTTGTGATTTGGTTAAGTTACTCAGTTTCACCATCTGTAAAATGGGGATTATATCCACCTCATAGGATTTTATGAGGATTAAAGAAGCTAAGACATGTAAAGTGCTTAGAATAGTGCCTGACACATAGTAATTATTATTACTGTTATTATTGTCCTGCTGACCACCATAGTGGAGTGACAAGGATATTGAGCCAAATCCTGGCTGTGTGATCTGGGGCTGGTGACATCATTCATTCTGTAAATGTTTACAGAGCATCAGCTATGCGACTGGGGATACCACAGTGAACAAAACAGAAACAAATCCCCACCCTCATAGTGCTTACATTGTGGCTTCTTCATCTGTGGAATGGGATGATAACCCAGACCTCACAAGATGCTATGAGGAATGAGAGCTCTGGTGTTGCTTTCTCTAACAGTGCTGTCCCTCATTCCCCTGGGATACCCCGGAGCCTTGGTACCTAGAATCTGAGGGTGAGAAGAGGCCACTCCCAATAACAGGTGATTTCTGGTCCCTCTGCCTTTCTGGTCCCCAGGTGTGCGACTCCTGCAACAGGATCCCATCGAGTGTCTCTTCTCCTTCATCTGTTCCTCCAACAACAACATTGCCCGCATCACTGGCATGGTGGAGCGGCTCTGCCAGACCTTCGGACCTCGGCTCCTCCAGCTTGATGATGTCACCTACCATGGCTTCCCCAGCTTGCAGGCCCTGGCTGGTGAGTACGTGGGTCCTTGCCTCCGGGCCTTCCAGCAACTTTCAAGGTCTGTTCAGTTCTCCCCTGGTGCCCTTCTCCCATCTCAAAGCTTCCTGCCTTTCTAAATACTGCCCTCATCCAGAATACTGCCCTGCCTGGTCTGATCAGCCCCAGTTACACCTCATCTTCCTTATCTGTCCCTGAAATGTCAGCACCTCACTAGTCTGGGCTTTTTGCCCCATGGGTTCAATGGCTTATCAGAAGACATCTGTATACAGTGTACAGTAATTTGGGCTTCAGAGCACGCATTCTAGAGACAGCCTGCCTGGGTCAGAATCTCAACTCTGGCACGTGACTTCTATGTATATGACCTTGAGCCATTATTTAGCCTCTGTGTGCCTCAGTTTTTTAATCCGTTGAATGGGATAAGAATAGCACCTACCGGGCTTCCCTGGTGGCGCAGTGGTTGAGAGTCCGCCTGCTGATGCAGGGGACATGGGTTCGTGCCCCGGTCCGGGAAGATGCCACATGCCGCGGAGCGGCTGGGCCCGTGAGCCATGGCCGCTGAGCCTGTGTGTCCGGAGCCTGTGCTCCGCAACGGGAGAGGCCACAACAGTGAGAGGCCCACATACCGCAAAAAAAAAAAAAAAAAAAAAGAATAGCACCTACCTATCAGAGTTGTCATGAGGGTTGAGTAAAGGAATACACATACTGCACCTAGCACAGTGTTTGGCTTATGGAGTGTAAACAGAAAATTCAACTTGTTATCTCTGCAATGAATCCAACAATTCTGCAACCAGAAACACATATGTTTTTCACGGCAGCCCTGTGAGGCAAGTATTTTACAGAGGCAAGTATATCAGTTGGCAGTTGTGAGAACCAAGCTAGAGAAAGTGCTTGGTGACTGCATAGCAAGGAGACAGCCCCCTCTGGAGAAAACAGAATGTTTTAGGTGCTTAGAAACCCAATCTTGGGTCTTAGCTCCCAGCCTAGTAGTCATAAGACCTCAAGAAATTCATTCACCTCTCCAAGCTTCTCTTAACTTGTTTGTGGAATGGGAATAACAGTCTCTATCCAGAAGGGTTTGAGGGATGAATAAAGCAATCATGAGGTAGGTAGTGCAATGGGTTAAGAGCACAGGCTTGGTGTCCCAGACCTCAGTGCAAGGTCCCATCTCTACCATGTCCTTTCTTGAGCAAGTTACTTAACCTCTTCTAGGCCTTCATTTTCTCCATCCATAAAGTGGGAAGAACAATAATATTGTCATCAGGGTCCTTGAGAAAAGTAAGCATGATAATGTACCTAAAGCACTTTGCCCATGCATGATACCCGGGACTTGAAAATAGAAGCTGTTGCTGTTATTATGACTTTTATTTTAGATCATGAATGTGAACGCCCTTTGGAAAGGTTAAGGAACTTAACTGGGGAGTTCCTCCAGGGCAGCAAGTCCTTCTCAGTCCCTTCTGCAGTGCACAGCACATAGTCAGTGCTCAGAGAACATTTGTGGAGGGGCAGAACCCAGGCCTTAACCCTTTCCTTTGTACATGCAAGTGTCCTGGGGTCTCCCAGAGGGTGGCAAGGTAGGAGAGGGGTGCTTAGGGAAAGCATTCCTGTGGGGTGCAGGGCTCACACACTAGCCTGATGACAGGAAGGATGTGATAATGCCTGACCCCTGATCCCCTCCCCACCACCCCACAGGGCCACAGGTGGAGGCTCAGCTCAGGAAGCTGGGCCTGGGGTATCGTGCCCGCTATGTGAGTGCCAGTGCCCGAGCCATCCTGGAAGAACGGGGTGGACTTCCCTGGCTGCAGCAGCTGCGCAAGGCGCCCTACGAGGAGGCCCATAAGGCCCTCTGCACCCTGCCTGGGGTAGGCACCAAGGTAAGACCCCAGGGGGGTAGGAGCTGCCCTCACCACCCATGCAGAGAGTAGCAGAGGAGTAGAGAAGGCAGGCCTGAGAGTTGGGTGCTTGGATGCGGGCTTCTCTTCTGGAGGCAGAGTGGGAAGGAGAAAGGATACCAGCAGATGTTTTATTAGAGAAATGTAGAATGCAGAAAGGGTATAAAAGACATTGCTCTTTGAATGCGTTTTTAGAAAAACCATTTGTTTAGGTACATATATACACTGCTATATGCAGAAATTTCCAGAAGGAATCACAGGGAACTTAATAGTGGTTACCTTTGGGAAGACAAATGAAAAGATGTTTCCACTTTTCATTTTGTTCTTCTTGTAAAATTATATGCACTTATAGAACTTCTTGTTAAATATCAACAGCGTTAGCTATCAGAAAGATGATTGGGAATTTGGCATTTATTGTTTTCTCTTTTATATTTCTCTGTACTTTAAAAATGAACTTTTGCTTAAAGAACTCTTTTTCATGGGCTCTGAACTCCAGCCTAACATTAAATCTGGGTTCTGCGTCTGCCTAGCTGTGTAACTTTGGCCAAGTCATTTCACCTTTCAGAACCTCAGTTTTCTTGTCTGCGAAACAAGACAAAGGGCTTCCCTGGTGGTGCAGTGGTTAAGAATCCGCCTGCCAATACAGGAGACACGGGTTCGAGCCCTGGTCCGGGAGGATCCGACATGCTATGGAGCAACTAAGCCCGGGGGCCAGAGCTGCTGAGCCTGCGCTCTGGAGCCCGTGAGTCACAACTGCTGAGCCCGTGTGCCACAATTACTGAAGCCCGTGCACCTAGAGCCCGTGCTTCACAACAAGAGAAGCCACAACAATAAGCCTGCACGCCACAACGAGGAGGGGCCCCCACTCACCACAACTAGAGAAAAGCCCGCGTGAAGCAACGAAGACCCAATGCAGCCAAAAATAAATTAAATAAATAAATAAATTTATAAAAAA